TTACCCTGGGCCAGAAGGGAACCTGCTGCCTTGAATGAAAGAACCCAGTCCTGGTAGGATTCATCACCTGCTGACTCAAGAGCCCTTTTGTCCTGAATAACCTGCAGTGGTACCCAGGTTACTGCTATGGGCCTGGAGTAAGCCTCTGAGACATGCTGGCTTCAGGTGGGACCCAGCACATTCCCAGCTATGGTGGCTGTGGTGAGAGACTTCTTCTGCTTGAGAAAAGCAGGGAGAAACTTAAAAGGGACTCTGTCTTGCAGCTTAGGTACCTGCGTAGCCACAATAGGGTAGAGCATCAAATAGGCTCTTGTGGTCATTGATTCTAGGCCTTGGCTCTTAGACAGCATTTCTGGACCTGCTCTGACCTCACCCTGAAGGGTGAGTCCTGGGCCTGGAAGCATTCACCACAAGTGACTGAAGAGCCCTTGAGCCCTAAGTGAACATCGGCAGTAGCCTGGCAGTACTCCCTGTGGGCCTGTGTGGGTGGAAGGGGAAAGAAGAATGGGAAGGACTTTTTCACATGGTTTCAGTGCCAGTTCAGCCGCCACAGAATAAAGCACCAGGTACATTTCTGAGGTTTTTGAGTCCAGTCCCTGGCTCCCAGACAGCATCTCTCGACCTGCCAGGGCCTGAGGGAACTCATTGCCCTGAAGAGAAAGACACAGCGTGTCTGGCTTTGCCACCTGCTGACTGTAGAGCCCTAGGGCCTTGAGTGAACATAGGAGATAGCCAGGTAGTGTTCACAGCAGGCCTTCAGTGAGACCCAGTGCTTTGCTGGCTTCAGGTCTGGCCCGTTGCCGTCCCAGTGGTGGTGGCCATAGGAATGTTGTGTCAGCCCACCCCCAGCTCCAAGTGGCTCAGCAGAGAGAGAGAGAGAAAGAGAGAGAGAGAGAGGGACTGAGATTGTTTAGAGGATAAGAGTCTCTGCCTGGCAGTCCAGAGAATTCTTCTAGATCTTATCAAAGACCACCAAGGCAGTACCTCTATGAGTCTGCAAAAACCATAGCATTACTGGGCTTGGCATGTCCCCTAATACAGATACAGTTTAGATCACGAGGCCCACATCCTTCAAATACCTGGAGAGTCTTCCCAAGGATGTGTACAAACGAGCCCAGACTGAGAAGACTACAATAAATACCTAAATCTTCAATGCTCAGGCACTGACAAACAACTGCAAGCATCAAGACCATCCAGGAAAACATGACCTCACCAAACAAACTAGAGGGGCCAATCCTAGAGAAGCAGAGATATGTGACCATCCAGACAGATAATTTAAAATAGCAGTTGTGGGGAAACTCAGAGAAAGTAAAGATAACACAGAAAGAATTCAGAATTCTATAAGATAAATTTAACAATGAGACTGAAATAAAAAGAATCAAGCAGAAATTCTGGACACATCAGAGTCTCTTCCTTGTGGAATTGATCAAGCAGAAGAAAAAATTAGTGAGCTTGAAGACGAGCTATTTGAAAATATACAGTTAGAGAAGACAAAAAAAATTAAAAAGAATGAAGCATGCCCACGAAATCTAGAAAACAGCCTCAAAAGGGCAAAGCCAAGAGTTATCGGCCTTAAAGAGGAAATAGAGAAATAGACAGAGATAGAAAGTTTATTCAAAGGGATAATAACAGAGAACTCTCCAAACCTAGAGAAAGCTATAAATATTCAAGTACAAGAAGATTATAGAATACCAAGCAGATTTAACCCAAAGAAGACTACCTGAAGACATGTAATACTCAAACTCCCAAAGGTCAAGGATAAAGAAAGGATCCTAAAGCAGCAAGAGAAAAGAAACAAATAATATACAATGGGGCTCCAATACGTCTGGCAGCAGACTTTCTGTGAAAACTTTACACACCAGGAGAGAGTAGCATGACATATTTTAAGTGCTGAAGGAAAAATACTTTTACCCTAGAATAACATATGCAGTGAAAATATCTTTCGAACATGAAGGAGAAATAAAGATTTTCCCAGAAAATCTTTTGTTTAAAAGCTGAAGGATTTCATCAACACCAGATCTATCCTACAGGAAATGCTAAAGGGAGGTCTTCAATCAGAAACAAAAGGACATTAATGAGCAATAAGACATCATCTGAAGTTACAAAACTCACTGATAATAGTAAGTACACAGAAAAACACAGAGTATTATAACACTGTAATTGTGCAAACAACTCTTACGTAGAACAACTAAATGAACCAAACAAAAATAATAATAACTACAACTTTTCAAGACATAGAGAGTACAATAAGATGTAAGTAGAAACAACAAAAAGTTAAAAAGCAGAAGGACAAATTAAAATATAGAGTTTTTATTAGTTTTCTTTTTATTTGTTTTATTGTTTACTTGTTTGTTCCTTTGTGCAAGCAGTGTAAAGTTGTCATCAGTTTGAATAATGGGTTATAAGATGGTATTTCCAAGCCTCGTGGTAATCTCCAATTTAAAAATATGCAACAAATACACAAAACACAAAAAGTAAGAAATTAAATCATACTACCAGAGAAAATCACCTTCACAAAAAGGAAGACAGGAAGAAAGACAAGAAGAAAGAGAAGACCACAACAATCGAAAACAAATAACAAAATGGCAAGAATAAGTCAATAATAACATTGAATGTTGATGGACTAAACTCTCCCATCAAAACTGTTATGGAAAGAACCATTATGGAGCAGTTCTCCCTGTTCCCACCCACATCATTTTTCATCAACTCTAGATGAGCTAAGGGTTCCCAAATGCCTTAGGCTGAGCATTCCTTGGGGTGAGGATCCTTCTTGCTCAGAGCCTAAAGACAAGTAGTGATACTGTTTCTGCCTGTCCAGTGTTTCCTAATAGGCCTTCAGTCTCCAGAGTGGAGAATCTGCCTTTGTGGGGGGTATTAGTAAGAAAAGCTAAGAGCCAGATCTAATCCTCTCTCACCTTGCTGCATCCAGGTAATGTGCATGTGACTTAGACTCAACCAACCGAATGCTCTTTCCTTGCACAGGAAAATTTGTATGAGAAAGGTGGGGAAACAGAGGTGGCTGTAGTACCAGAGGTCATGGGATGGGAAAGCTGAACTGTTTCTGCTCAGAGACTGTTATTGTGGTTCTTGGGGCCTTCCTCTTTGTTTCTTGGCTCCTAACTGTTCTCAAGCCTGCTTCGTCAGCTCCCTTCTACTCTGTCAGTTCCCTGACAGTCTTTCAATAAGTCCCTTTTACTTAAGTTAGCCAGATTAGTTCTTAAGCTTTTAACCAAAAATGCTTCCTGGTGGAATAGAGCCTCTCTCACCCTTGTGGTTTGGCCAGTGGAGAAAGGAATCTCTTGGGGGAGCAACCTTGAACTTGGCTGTGTTTCCAGGCTTGCTTCGATGTAGCAGGCTGGTCTTAGGGTACTGGCTTGGCTACCAGGGCCCTTCTCAGTAGGATCACTATGCCAAGAATTGGTCTTAAATGTGACTTTCTGTCTGTCTCATGTAGGAGAGTTGACACTGGCAAGGACCAGCTTCCCAGAATCAGACACAGAGGAGACGGCTTCTCTAGGACTCTCAGTGACAAGCTAGTGCTAGTTCTGCGGTCAAGGGTTGACATGGGTTAGGAACAGAGGTAAATAAACTCTTGGGCTGCTGGAAAGTTCCATCTGTGCATCTCCAGCCTCCCCTGCATCTTTTCCTTTTTGTGTAAATTTCCATTCCTGGTAAGGATGGACACATGGAGAAACCCATTTTTTTAATACAATATCATCCCAAAAAAATCACCTGGAGGGGTGGTGACCCGGAATTCTGCATCCAGGGGCTTAGTGCAGACTTCTCAGGCTGGCCTGGAGGTGGTGCTGTTTGCAAGTGGTCAATCTGGGATACTAAAGATGCTACCAGGGTATTGGATAAGATTCACTAGCTGAACTTCACTTTGCATCTCTGTATTTGGATTCAAGAGGTTAATTAGTGAAAAACAGGTGAATTTCACATAATCTTTGGAGTGGTGCAGAGGACTTTCTAACACAATACTCAGAGGCTATAAAAAGACAAGATTAACAAATTTGCAAAAAAAAATTCAAATTTCTATATTTAATAAACCAGCAGAAAACAAACAGCAAACTGAGAAAAAGTAGAAACTGCTGTGACAAAGAGATAATTTTCTTAATATACAAAGAGCTCTTACAAATAAATCCAATTTGAAAATGGGAAAAGTACCCGGCACGTGGCTCATGCCTGTAATCCCAGCACTTTTGGAGGCCAGGGTGGCTGGATCACCTGAGGTCAGGAATTCAAGACCAGTCTGATCAACATAGTGAAATCCCTGTCTCCACTAAAAATACACAAAATTAGCCGGGTGTGGTGGCGCATGCCTGTAATCCCACCTACTCTGGAGGCTGAGGCAGGAGAATCACCTGAACCTGGCAGGGGAAGATTCAGTGAGCCGAGATCGTGTGAGTGCACTCCAGCCTGGGCGACAGAGAAAAAAAAAAAAAAGCAGTCATTTCATTGCAGGTGCCTCCGGTAATTGCTCTGTTCAAACATACACAACGATTCTATCACAGACCATTAAGGGTGTCTCTCTCCATTTTTAGATTTTCCACTTGAGTTTCCAGGTAGTTTCTCACCTGTTTTCAAGCAGGGTTGGGGCAGCCATTTCTTCAGCAGCGCTAGGGGTAGGAACCCAAAGATGGAGGCCAAACTGCCACTCCCGGGAACCCTCCCTTCCCCCATACTGAGATTGATATGTAAGCAACCCAGTGATCAGTACTAAAATGGAGACATCAGCCGGGTACAGTGGCTCACACCTGTAATTCCAGCATTTTGGGAGGCTGAGGAGGAAGGACTGCTTGAGCCCAGGGGTTCGAGGCCAGCCTGGGCAACATATGGAGACCCTGTCTCTATGAAATGTAGATCCTGTCTCTCTCTGTGTGTATAAAAATATATATACATAAATATATATTTTTTAGAAATAAAATGGGGACGTCCAACAGGTGTACTAGGGGCGGTGTCTCTGCCTGGGGAGGTGGTGATGACAGGGCAGGTTTCACCCAGGAGAAGCTGGAAGAATGGGAGTTCCGCGGCAGAGGAGGCGGGGCAGGACGTTCCTCCAAACACAGGAATACCACGTGCGAAAACAGAGGGGTGTGCGAAGACCGAGTGCCTGTGTACAGCTGCAAACTGGGGGAAAGGCGCCAGGCTTGGGCGATAAGGATTTGTTCCCCCATGGCCTCCCTTCCTGCCCAGGGTCTGCTCTTGCCGGTCGAGGGTGCCTGACAATACTCCTTGCCACAGGGTTCGCAGCTGAAAAGGTCCTTCAAGTCCGGTCATCCAACTTTCACTTTTTATAGACAAATATACAGAGGCCTTAGATAAGTGAAACGGCTTGTCTCGGGTTACAGCTCTGGCCAACACGGGGGTTCTGACGGTCAGTCCGCGGATTTTCCTGCCTCTGACCCGCGGGCACTGCCCAGGCTATCAGCCCCAAACCCTGCTGCGGAGACCGCGGTCAGGTTCGCCTCCGGGCGGACTACATCTCCCACAATGCCTTGGGCCCAGCCTCCCTCCCGCCTCCCGGCTGGGTGCCGTCTCCACCAATAGAAAGGCAGAATTTCCAGGGCCGTTCTCGGCAGCCAATGAGCGGGGCGATGGGCGGGCCTCTCCCGTCCATTGTTCTCGGTGCCCCACGGGCTTGAGCCGGGGTGAATCCGGAGGGGCCGGGCCGAGCCCAGGGGCGCTTTTGCGCGCGAAGCAGCCGCTAGAGCAGGACCTGGTCTCCCGAGAGGTGAGCCGGAGAGGCAGGCCTGGAGCTGCGCGGACCCCGGGCAGTAGCCCGAGGTGAGGGAATAGCGGGCCTGGAGCCAGCTGCCGGCAGCTCTGCTGGGGGAGGGGCGTCGGGGTCGCGCTCAGTGTCCTGCGGGCCCTGCAGCCCAGAGCGCCGGCTCCGCTCTGCGAACCGTCCTGGAGGCGTCTCGCTGGCGGAGAGCTCCTTGCGTCTCCTACCGGGAAGCGCAGGCTTTGGACGGGAAGGGGCATTCGACGACATCCCGCGCAGCGTACACGTTTTACAGATGGAGAAACTGAGGTTCAGGGGGGCGTGTCGTGCCCCGAGTCAGACGGCAAATTAGCTGACCGGGCACACTTTTCCCAGGCTCCCAAGTAGGAAGAGTTCTCTTATACCATATGCCAATGTTTCTTCTAGTCATTTGAGTAAATACACGTTGAGAGCGTGGGTTTTCCCACTAGCTTTTATTTTCTTTTTGTCCTTTTTTTTTTTTTTTTTTTTTTTAACTTAGTCCACCTTTCTCCCCCCTTCGTTGAGGGGGGGGGGAGTGTTTTTTGAGTCTTTATGATGTAGTAAGGATTTTTTTAAAATTTTTTTATTTTTGAAGAGACTGGGCCTCACTCTGTTGCCCAGGTTGGTCATGAACTCCCGGCCTCAAGCCATCTTCCCTCCTCGGCCTCCCAAAGGGCTGGAATTACAGGCGTGAGCTGCAGCTCCTGGGCTAACAATAATTTTGTATTGGTTTTATAATGTTCATTTTAAGTCGTTTGCAATTCCACTGCTCTCAGTATTTTGTAGCTCCCGTCCCGTTCTTTTTTCCTGTGAGTTCATTTATCTTTTATTTATTTATTTATTTTTTGAGACGGAGTCTCGCTCTGTCGCCCAGGCTGGAGTGCAGTGGCGCCATCTCGGCTCACTGCAAGCTCCGCCTCCCGGGTTCACGCCATTCTCCTGCCTCAGCCTCCCGAGTAGCTGGGATTACGGGCATGCGCCACTACGCCCGGCGAATTTTGTGTTTTTAGTAGAGACGCGGTTTCTCCATGTTGGTAAGGCTGCTCTCGAACTCCCGACCGCAGGTAATCCGCCCACCTCAACCTCCCAAAGTGCTGGGATTACAGGCGGGAGCCACTGCGCCCAGCCGTGAGTTTATTTTTAAAGGGAATTCGGGACTTACTATGTCTATGGTTTTTCTGCCCTGCTGATTTTGTGTTTATCCATTATTTTCATATCAGAAGGATTATCTTAAATCATTAATGATTAATCTTTGTCAGTGTAATTTTTAAAATATTAAAAACATACAGCGTAATGCACAGATCTTAAATTTCACGTTTGCTGTTGTGCCACCATTGCCAAATGAAGATATTGAAAATTTCCATCATCCCAGAAGGCTCCTTTGAGCCCTTTTCCTATCATTACCACCCAAACGTAGCCATATATTATAGCACAGTTTCTTTTTTTTTTCTTTTCTTTTTATTTATTTGGTTTTTTGAGACAGAGCCTCGCTCTTTTGCCCAGGCTGGAGTGCAGTGGCACGATCTCGGCTCACTGCAACCTCCTCCTCCCAGGTTCAGGCAGTTCTCCTGCCTCAGCCTCCTGAGTAGCTGGGATTACAGGTGCCCACCACCATGCCTAGTTAATTTTTGTAGTTTTGGTAGAGATGGGGTTTCACTATATTGGCCAGGCTGGGCTTGAACTCCTGACCTCAAGTGATCCGCCTGCCGAGGCCTCCCAAAGAGCTGGGATTACAGGCAACCACGCCCGGCCTATAGCACGGTTTCTAATACATGCTACTATATGTATGTGTCATAGTTTATTAGCCATTCCCTGCTGCTGGATTTTTAAGGACTCAAGTTTTTGGTTATTTTTTTAAGATAAAGTACTGAGGGGCTGAGGCTGGATTGGAGAGTATGGATATGTTTTAAACTTCATACTTACAGTATGGTAATAATGCAGTTGAGATACTGCCTTTCTTCCAATGAAGCTCAAAGTGCTTTGACATCTGATCCATTGCTTATCCTTAAGATGCCCCCATAAAAACAGAAACATGAGTGTTACTATCTCTATTTATTAGGTGGTCACAGAGTTTGGTGACTAAGTTGTTTGTTAGGTCAAGGTCTCACACACACACTCCTGTGTTGCAGGAGGATGGCCCTGAGTCTGAGCCCTTTCCCCAGAGTGCTGGCAAGGGCAACCGCCAGGAGGAGGTGACCAGGGGACCACAGGGTGCACTCGGCCACCTCTGAGAGCTCTGTCGGCACTGGCTGAGGCCAGAGGTACACTCCAAGGAGCAGATGTTAACCATGCTACCAAAGGAAATTCAGGCTTGACTGCAAGTCAAGTCAAGGTCCAAGTCGGAACTGACTTATGAGAGTCCTCAGTATTTCAGTCATGGGTTTTTCCCAGGGACTTTGCATTTCTGATACTCATTCTTTGGTGTTTTGGAAGGAACAATGCTGTATTTTTTGTGCTTGGGATACTTTTTTTGTTTTTGTTTTTGTTTTTGAGACGGAGTCTCACTCTGTTGCCCGGGCTGTAGCGCAGTGGCGAGATCTGTGCTCACTGCAACCTCCGCCTCCTGGGTTCAAGAGATTCTCCTGCCTCAGCCTTCCAAGTAGCAGGGACTACAGGCCCCTGCCACCACACCCGGCTAATTTTTGTATTTTTAATAGAAATGGAGTTTCACCATATCTCAGGTGATCTGCCTACTTTGGCCTCCCAAAGTGCTGGGATTACAGGCGTGCGACACCCACCGCCTTCTCTTACCACAGATGTTTTCAGGAATAAGCCATTTTTTCTTTAAGAGGAACAGGAAACGTCTGTTGGTTTGCATATGTGAGGACCACTTGGTGGTCTGACCTGGGCTTTTGTGAGTTAGATTGCTTTAAGACAGTCTACCTATAGATTATGGTTCTCTTTTTTGTTTCTCAGCGGGACTACTTGTTGATATCTGAGGAGGGAAGTGTCTTACCTGAGAGCCTGGCTGGAGAAGACTGGGGTTCAAGGCTTGAAGCCTAAGTGTTTGCCCCAGGACCGTGGATGATGGCTGCAGAGATCCCGAGAGTGACCACTCCGCTGAGCCCCTTGGTCCAGGTGCCTCAAGTGGAAGATAGACAGAAGGAGGAGGTCACCACCATGATCCTGGAGGATGACTCCTGGGTGCAGGAAGCTGTGTTGCAGGAGGATGGCCCTGAGTCTGAGCCCTTTCCCCAGAGTGCTGGCAAGGGCAGCTCCCAGGAGGAGGTGACCAGGGGACCACAGGGTGCACTCAACCGCCTCCGAGAGCTCTGTCGGCGCTGGCTGAGGCCAGAGGTACACACCAAGGAGCAGATGTTAACCATGCTACCAAAGGAAATTCAGGCTTGGCTGCAAGAGCATCGGCCTGAAAGCAGTGAGGAGGCAGCGGCCCTGGTGGAAGACTTGACCCAGACCCTTCGGGACAGTGGTGAGACGCGGAACCTCATAGGGAGAGGGCGGGAGCACCCTTCCAAGGTGGAGGAGTGCGTTGTGTCGGAGGAGGAGAAGGTGGTGTCCAAGACAGAGTGGGGGGCTAGCGCCATCCCTCTGCTCTGTCTGCAGGCAGTCAGCATGTTCATCAGCCTTTTAGTGTCCTCACTGTGTGCAATGTCAGCTCCAGAACTGCGGTGTAGGAGGGGCTTAGAGCTACCTTTGCATTGTAAGCACAGTTTTTACTTCTATGTTTATTTGGAGTGGTTGGGAAGGTGGTGGAAGTTACACAGGGAGGAGATGGAGACCCCTGGCACCTTCACTTGGTTGTACAAGAAACATCCAAATAGTTCTTGCAATTAGAGAAAACAATCTGATATTTTCAACTTTTTTTTTTTTTTGCAACAGAGTCTCACTCTGTCGCCCAGGCTGGGGTGCAGTGGCACGATCTTGGCTTGCTGCATCCTCCGCCTTCTGGGTTCAAGCAGTTCTCCTGCCTCAGCCTCCTGAGTAGCTGGAATTACAGGCACGCGCCACCATGCCTGGCTAAGTTTGTATTTTTAGTAGAGACAGGGTTTCACCATGTTAGCCAGACTGGTCTCAAACTCCTAACTTCGTGATCCGCCCACCTTGGCCTCCTAAAGTGCTGGGATTACAGGTGTGAGCCACCCATGCTTAGCCTCAAAGTGATTATTTTTGTGAAACCAAGAGAAATGACAAGTAAACCAGCTAATAACTAGGGACTTTCTGTGGTATAAAGTAATCATAGGCTCTTAAAATCGTAATTTCAAGCGAGCTCTTTGCAATAGTTACTCTGTTTTTTTCCGGTGTTACTAATAAGTATTGGGATCCTGTCTTGCCATTTAACCGCTCTGTCTCCCTCCTGGTTTTCTGTTGTAAACTGGACTCACTTGATGACCAAATATTTACTTCAGATGTACCTGTGCCTTTAGGGCTGTCTCAGGGGTCATAGGATATGGCTGCCTTTGTGCTAATGAGAACTACGGAAGTTCAGAGAAGGGAGCATGGAGAGGAGAGGTCAGGTCAGAGAAGGCTTCCTGGAGGAGGTGACACCTAAGCAGGAGGTTGTAGAAGGGATTAGGGTGTGGCAGCTGAGAGGAGCTGTGCTGAGCAGAGGCTTGGAAGGGCAGAGCCAAGGTAGTTTATACCTTTGGGTAACAGCAGAACTGGCTGATGGGAGTGGCAAGTGTGTTTTTAGGAAGTGGTAGGAAGTAGAGTTTGGGGGAAGGGTGAGTGAGGGCCTGGACTGAATGTCATTGGCCTTAGCAGGTTCTTGAACTAGGGCCCCAGGGGGCATGGGAGGAAGTGGAGTTTGGCAACAGGATGTAGGTTTGATTAGGGTAGTGAGAGGCTAGGGGCAGGAGAGCAGCCAGGAAGCTCCCTTGTCATCGGGTGTGCAGTGATGGGGGTTGGCCCCAGATGGGGCACATGTGAGAAAGAACTGATAGTCACCGTGGCTAGCACTTCCCAAGCTCTTTCTGCAAGGCAGGACATATGCTTAGCATCTAATATGGAAAACTCATGTAATCTTCACCACCCTGGAAGATAAGCAGGATTATCATCACCAGAGATCCCTTAAGATCATATGCCTTTGTACCAGGCAGAACCAAGATTTGAACTTACATGTCTGAGGACATGGCCCATGTTTTTAAGCGCTGTCACATGTATGATTCTAAGAGACACTTCCTAGTGGGTGTTGGAAGTTGGGGATGCAGATGGAATTAAGACAGTGACTAACTCCAGAGCATCTGGCCTGGAGGATTCAGAGGACTGGAAAGAGAAGAGA